GACTCTCTTGCATTCAACTCCCAACACCTTTTGTCTGTTCCCAAGATGCAAGATGTGGTTAGAGCTTCATGAGAAGCCATCGAGATGAGGCTGCCGCAGATGAGCAGTACATGCTTCCTCTGAGCCTTTTCTGATGCTGTAGTTAGCTCCTTCAGCAAAGCTGGACCCACCAGAAGAAACAAGAGCGTGGCAATGGTCAGAGCTGAGGTTCTGCTGAGGGCAGACACCACCAGCCTCTACGCCATCTCAGGGATATTTTAGGGGTTCATGCTTTAGCTCACAAGCCCAAGCTGCTGCGGTCAGCAAAGTGAAACCCACTCCGTCCAGCACAAGGTTGTGAGCAGCACTAGGCTGGCAGTGGTGATTTCAGTGAGCACAGGCTGGTTTCAGAGGTCCATGGGGTCCAATATGTCCTCTCCAGCCAGGCTGGGTGCTGAGCACACATGGAAAAGGTGAAGACATGTACTTGCTTAGATGCTGAATATGATTTGCACTAACCTACAGATCCTTTGCTGTGTCTCTCAAGAAGACTTGGGCAAGACCAGCACTTCAAGCTGATACAGCTGCTCAAGGAGCAAGCAGGGCCATGAGCATTAGCAAACCCTTGCAAAGGCTGTAGGCAGCAGACACTTGCTGAGTAAGTGCAGCTCCCTGAGCCAGGCAGAGTATCTCTAACCCAGTGGCCTGTGCAGTATTGACCTACTCGACACTGCCCTGAGGACACTGGTGTGGCAGTGCAAAGGGGACAGACACTGCTCTGAATCTGCCGCAGGGAGCGGGATGTGAAACCTCCGTTTCTGCACAAGCCTTCAAGGTTTCCCAGCCAACACTAGCTTGAACCTGACCACGTTCAGCTCGAGAAGACAGACCCAGAGGGCTGCAAAGCAATGTCCAGCCTGCCCCTGCCACACTGGCTGCCCTCTGGAGCCCTACTCACATCCCATGAGCAGTGGGACAGTGCTCAAGTAGTGGTTTTCCTCCTTATCCAGGGGCCTCGGCAGTGCAGGCACCATCCTGTACACTGATCACCCTGCCCAAACCACCCCTTTCCTCTGGTTGAAACACAAGGCACCTTCCCAATCCTCAGCTAAAGCCATGTGCTTGGCCAAACCCTCCCCGTGCCTCTGTGCCCTGACTCTGCTCAGCCCCAGGGGATGCAACTTCATTCCCTACATGTGCTGAGGATGCACATATGGCAGCCCCCTCCCCTCTCCACTTCCACCTAAGCCCGACCTCCTAACAACCTCCACACGGCACAACGCGACCGGCCCAAGAGTGCCAGAAGGCATCCAGGTGCTGCAGCCTGATGCTTCACACCCGCAGCCAGGCAAATTTGCTGGGATTTCCGGGAAGTGTCTCTAGGGTGCCCCGTGCTGCTGCACCCCCACTTTGGTGTGTGCTTGTTTGGAATGCGGGGCCGTGGGGGGGGGGAGAGGGGAAGTTATTCTGGTGGTGGCCTATGAATAACATCCAGTGATTTATAGGAAGTATAATCCAATAATACAGTAAAATAAAACAGTGTGTCTGAGATGGGTTTGATTCCAGGAATTATAAAACAAATTATTAAAGAGAGAGAGAAAGAAAAAAGCCTCAGAGAGGCCAGATCGGAGTAAATTGGGCACAGATGGGCTGGGAGGGGGTTTCTCTCTCTACAGATGCCCCTGCCGCAAGCACGGCTTCAATTAGTCTTTTCAGAAACCAGAGTTTTATTTCCCCAAATTACAGAATTAAAAAAAAATTAAAATTCTTGGAGTGTTTGTGGTTGGGATAAAGGGATCCAAGCTTCTCTGTAAGCTGATTGTGCAGATGGCTACCAAACTGTTAAACAGGCCACCCCACAATGGTCCTGTCCCAGCTGCAGCCCAGGACGGCCCAAAACATTGCTAGTCCATCCCATCATGGAAAGCTTCAGCCACTGCAAATCTCTGCCATGTAGAGTGGTGTTCTCTCTCTGCCTCCCTCCCCTGAGTGGGCACTCCTTGTCCTATAGGTTTGAGGTCTACAAGAAGCTTTTTCACACCTTGAGCAGTCCTGACAGGAGGCAGCCAGGTCAGCAGGACCCTTGCTGGCTACACACCTCCCTGGACAATGCAGGAACACACTGCTTGATGCCAAACAGCAGGGGAAGCACTTCATGTGGGAATTCTTTGGCTTCCTCTGTCAGAGAAAACAACAGATCCAATTCATCTCCCAGGGTCTACCCAGTGCTGCCTGGCTGCACAGGCTGCTGAGACCAGCTCCAGCATGCCTGGTGCTGTCCCTGGGGATAAGCACAGCTCAGCTGCCTGCACTGGGCACAGATTGTGGGGCTCTGCTTGCACTCCCTTCAACCCTGGCTGGGTACCCACTGCAGGGCTTGGGTAGCCACAGCAGCGACCTGCGTGGGAGGAGGATGTGAAATGCCACGTGCTGCTCACAGCTGGCTGGCTCTGAAACCAGCTTAAACACCCCAGTGCACCCCAGAAAAGTTTGCATTCAGAGGCTTAAAATTTTGTAAAAGTTTCCCAGGTCAAGTGGTGACACTGCGCCATGACTGCCAGCACCACTGGATCCCAGCACCAGGGATGCATTAGACACCAGATACGAGGCAACAAGCAGGTTTATAAGTTTCTCAGGAGCAGCTGGGGCTTGAGAGACCTGGAAATACATGGGGGGGGGGGGGGAGGGAGCAGCTATCCCTGAAGAGAACACTCCCGGGCAGCAGGAACGAGAAGCTCTCGGTCAAACCTCCCTCTCAGCCCTAAACCCATGGATCTCCTCCTGCTACCGCAAGCTGAAGGTCAGACAGGCCCGTGCAATGGGAAGGACACAGACACGCTCTGATCCCAGATTTGCAGAAAGATTTCAGTAGGAGGAGATCTCTGGAGGCTGTTCAGTTGAACTGCAAAGTAAGATCCAGCTCTATGGAGTGGATGCAGCCAAGCTCTGACTCCAGCCGGCTCCCCAGTAATGCTTCCTGACAATTTGGGATGCAGGCAGGGTGGGACTGCTCCCTGTGCCCTGCCAGCCTCCCACAGGCCCTCAGGGGTGGCTCGGCCCCCTCGCACTCGGTCCTGCTGCTGCCCAGGCTGCTGCAGCACAGGGAGGTGACTCATGTGCTGGGAAATGGAAACCCGCACCTTCCCGACAGCGTTCCTGCCGCGTGCTCCAGCCAGGACTCTGCCCACAGCAGCCCACACGCTGGGGAAGGAGCCAGCACCCTTGCTCTGTGCTGGGCACTCAGTAATCATTCAGCAAACGTTCCTGCTTGCCTTCAGGTCTTTTGCTTTTTCTTTCCAGCTGCACCCAGTTTTTCCCAGTATCGCAGTGTCGGCACCAAGCCCAATGTGTGCTGTGCCAGCACTCAGAGACCACCAGGGCAACTGAGCTGGAAACCAGGATTTGCTTTGCCAACAATATTCTCAGTGATATTTTAGGGTCATCAGAGCAAGAAGTCCTCAGGGAAATCCCTGAAGGGCACCAGGCATCAGGTGGCAGCCGTGGTGCCATCCAACCTGCAGGCATTCCATGAACACGGCCACCTGCTCCATGCACAGCCTGCAGTCCCCAGCAGGAACAGGTTTGCTTTCTCCAGAGATCCAAAAGCTGGGAGCAGCTGGCAACTACCCACACAGAAGGCAGAAAACTCTGAGAATACTTATTTTTCACGAGATAAAAAGCACTCCCTTTGTCACTCACACTCATCCACAACTCGGCTGTGGATGGATGAGCACGGTCCAGTGGTCTGAAAGCTGGGATGGCTTCCAGCCCTGCCACAGGGGTTTGCCATCCATCCCAGACAAATCTCTTCCTCTCCTTACCACCCGCTCGTCTGCAGCACAGACACCATTATTAATTCACCTACCAGGAGTATTATTAGTATTATTAATACAATAATTACCATCACACAGAGGCATTTGCTTATAATCATAAAGTAATCTGCAGCTCAAAGATAAACACACTGTCACTGGCTGGCATCTGGCAGGAAGGAGGGCATGGCTGTCTCACCAGCAGGACTGACAGCTCCCTCTGAGTTTCTCCTGCGAGAGGAGGGTGCCTGTGAGGCTGGAGGGGAAGCAGGCACAGCACACGGGAGCTGCTTCCCAACCCTCCGGCTGGTGCTGGTTCACTCCATCAGCTGACCTTGGCCATTAACCACCAGCCTGACAAGTGGCCAACTGGCTCAGGAGGGAGAAATATTCCAGCAGCAGCTCTTTGGGGCTCAGCCTGATCGCCCACATGGTGGCTTTAGCTGAAATCCATCAGCTGGAGGCCTTCAACTTCGGGATCTAAATCCCAAGCCATTGGCATGCAAAACGCTGCTTCCTCCCACCCAGGGAGCATAGCCTCATCCCTGCTCCCAAACACATGGCTCAGGCAGACCTGGGTGCCTGTCACTGAGTGCATGTCAGGAGAATACAGGAAAAAACATGCTCCCTGGAAGCCTACTGTTTCATACTCAGTGGAAGAGGCTCCAGTTTGGTGGCATCTCTGCTGACCAACACACTGAACTTCTCCTGAGTGGATGGAGGGGGGTGAGAGGGGGAGGATAAGTAGCACTAAAGAACTTTGTTCTCTAGGTGCCTTAATATGGGGCACAGGCTCCAGTCTGGCCATTCAGAGGAGGCTCACATCTCACAGGCACTTGCATGGACACACCACTCTCCCAACAACCAAGGCCTCTGAGACCCTCCCAGCCCTTCTGGTGCCAGCAGAGGCACTGAGCAGGGCCCAGGTTAAACACTGGAAAGGCAGAGCCATAAAGCACTGTCTTCCTTCTGCGCTGATGACTCAGGCTCCAGGGAGATATGATGCCTCCTCACTCATTAGACACCTCACCCAGCTCCAAGGCTCAGCCAAGGTCCCTTTGCTAACCCTATGCATGCTGAACCCACAGGCATCCAAACACCACTCTGCCTCCCCATCTGGTGAGTTCCCCCCACCCCGTCTCCACGTGAGCAGCTCAGCCATGGAGAACGGCTGATCCCCATCCCCAGTTCCCCTAAAGCAGCAGGTGGTACCTTTGGGCTGGGAGTTGTACACGGCAAACATGTTGATTGCCACAAGCTGGAGCATGCGGGTGCTTCCGATGGGAGGGGGGCTGTGCTGCAGCAGGACCTGGAACTCCCTCAGGACCTCCTCGGCCACCGCAGGGAAAGTCTCCATCCTGCAGACAGAGAGAGAGAGGCTGTAGAGTGCAGGCTGTGCCCTGGGGTACAGGGCAGTCAATCGGCACGGCTCACCCTGTATCATGTCTCCTGGGGAAGGAGAGGAACCCCTGGGGTGCTGCCTCCCATCCAGGAGCTATGGGGAATGAAGGTGCAGGCTGCAACAGAGGCAGCTGAAGCCTTCCTTAGGGAGGGCAGTGAGGGATTGCTCTGTGACTGACAGGCAGCATTCCTTTGGCAGGAAAACACGGCCTTTATGAGTCATTTCTGACCAACCATTTTTTTCTACTGACTTCTACCAATCTGGGAGGGGTGCCAAGGGGCCAGCAGCTCACTTGGACCAGGAGCAGCCCATGGGACTCCCAAGAAACCCAAGCTGCAGCAAAATGCACACACTGGTGCCACATTGCGGATGTGGCAATTCCAGTGCATTGAACGCTGGCCAGAGCATGCTCCTTCCAGAATGGTGCCTCTCCCTGGGCTCCTCGCTGCAGGATTGGATCCTGTGGCACTGAGCCCTGATCCCCACAGGCTACACACTCCCAAGCACTGTGATTGAGCCCCTAAACTTCATCACTTCGACCCCCACAGGACAGGGACTCACTGACTTGTGTAACTGCTGACAACATCAAAGCTGGAGTGGGTCCCCACAGCCCACAGCTCTGCTGTCGCGCGTCAGGACACAGCAGCCCGCGGCTGTGGTGCCACGGCTGGGGATGGGGTGTGCTTTCAACACCTCTCACAAGCACCCACAGAAATCTGACACGTTTATCCTGCTCTTCATCACTAAGGGAATTAACTGAGGTCACTTATCAGAACTGTTGGATCCTCAGCAACCTCCCAGCTGAAGTGGGGTCAAAACCTGAACTGACTGCATAGAGCACAGTCGATTCCCAAAAACGACTCGGATGTGGTTGCCCACAACAGCCCTCACCTGGTATCCCATGAAGACAACTTTATAAGCAAGAAGCTGCCCAAAACCTTGGAAACTATTGTGGGAGGGGAACCTCCACGTGCCCCACTGAGCTTGCTGTGTTACTTCTTGCTCCTACACTAGACAAGCTACAGCCAGAACCAGCAGACTGTATATCTCCCAGCAAGTGTCCACTCCAGTTATCAGTGACATTGCTGAGTGCCCACATGGGAGTGAGGGAGCCAAAATCCACAGTGGATGAAGCATCTGGAGCCAGAGCAGGCGATCTCAGGGGCCTCCATAGCAATTTCCTCTATCTTCCCCGGAGAGAGGCAGATCTTGTGATATCAGCACACTACAGGCTGGATTAACAAGCCACTTCTGGTAACCCACATGGGCAATTCTGCTGGGCTTCCCCAACAGACTTTCAGGACAGTGACAGCTCTATTTTTAAAGACAGAAATGGCCTTCTTAACCATATTTCATGGGTGCCTTTCAACACCTGGGTCTGCCTAACAGCAGGGCACCTTGTCCCTGGGCACTGTTTGCTGGAGCACTTCGAAGTCTCTGTTACCTTCCCAAAAGCAAAGGCTGTAACAAACAGGCCCATTTGTAGCTGTGCAGAATGGAGCAGCTCCATCAGTACAAAAGCACTGCTCTCCCTGCAAAAGGCAACTTCCCTGGATTTGGGGCACAGCCAGGGAATTAGAAAAAAACTGATTGCTTCTAAAGACTTCCTAATTTTGAGAAATCTCAGACCACATTCAGCATATCCAGCAACATCCTCTTAGGACAGACAGGACTCTGGGGATGGAGGAGCCCTTTGCAGGATGGATTGTTAGTGAGGAGATGCAGATTTTATTGCCATGGAATAACAACAAGAAGGAGCAAGGGCTTCCTCAGCCCCACCAGCTGTGCTTTGATACCACAGCACATCTGGAACAGCACGCAGTAACCCCACTGAGCTCAGAACCAGCAGGTCAGGAGCTGAGCGGAAGCTTTTAATAAATTGCTTACCTGTGGTTTTAGGAGCAAGAGTCCAATTAGGGCAACATCATCTTTTCCGTACTTTTAACAGATAAATCACCCAAGATCCTGCCCAAAGAAGACTTGGCTATTCCTCACCTTTTACCTATTTTAAGCACGGAAGCTGTTTAGCAGGGCTGGATGATTTTCTCTTCCTGTGTCATGGTATTACTTTCTAGTTCCCTTCTAAGTACTTCAGGGGATATTGTACCATTAAACATACTTGGGTTTTCTAAATGACTGTCCTGGGAAGCAACTGCCTCAAATACTGCATCTTAATTTCACAAAAGTCTCAGGAGCCAAATGTGCAACTGATCTCTGCAACATCCCCATTAATCCCCTGCTGGCACCCGTTCAACCAGAGCTCGGCCGCGAGCATGGCCCCACAGCACCGAGCCCAGTCCAGCAGCTCCCCAGATGCTCTGCCCTCCTGAACCTTTCATGGGCTCTTGCAGTTCTCCTCTTTTCCTGTGGGCTCTGCCTCCTCCCTGCAGGCCAGTCTGCGGCCCATGAGCGGATAATCAGTGCCTTGTGACTCGGGGAGAGATCAGCAGCACCGGCAGTGAGCCGACGGCTCTCCCCTTCACCCTCGGACACTTGGATCTCCAACAAATTGGCCAGCATCACTCCTGCTTCCCTTTGTTTTATGAAGGGTCCAAAGTGAAGCACATGCCATTCCTGAGCAGTCACCCCTGAAAGCACTGGATGCAGCAAGTGCTGAGGTGTCAGGCTGCACGGCAGGATTTGTGCTGTGCCCTGCACTGCTGTGTTTCCCCACTCTAGGAAGGAAAACGGACAGGGAACTGTACATCTGAGTCAAAAAACACAACAGCAGGGACAAGCTGCCACTTTGCATCCATACTACCTTTACCTATGTGGCCTGGAAAAGGTCCCTCAGCCCTGTAGCTCATAGCCAGTAGTTCCAGAGACTGAAGGAGACAACAGAGCTCATGAGACTGTAGCTGCTCACAAGCCACTGGCAGGCTCAAGTGGAGACCCACTGCTGCCAGGGACTGTCCGAACCCATCCAAGGTCCCTCCTCAAGAACTGCTCCCACACAGCTGCCCCATCTCCGACAGTGAGGGTCAGTGCAGCAGGGACAGCTGCATGGGAAGCCCATCAGCTGCAAGGCTGAGCTCTGCCCTCTGGGTCATAAGGATGTTCCCCAGGCTGGGATCTCAGCCCAGGCTGGGATCAGGCTTGCTTTGCTTCAAGGGTAGCTGCTCAATTACTTGAAACCAGTTTCTGACAGCCATTGCCAAGGGCACTTTGTATAAACCAGTTCCCACAGCCAGGGCAGCTCTCAGCTATGAGGCTTTCACTGAAACGGCAGCGAGGAGACGAAGGGCAAAGCTTGCCTTGACACGCTCCGGACGGCAGCGTTCAGCCACCACATGGTTCTGCCTCGATGGCTTTGTGCTCCTCGCAGGCAACAGCCACTGAGAGCCCCCAGAGCCACCTCTGCCCTGGCTAAGGGTGAGGAAGGGCAAGGGAAGAAGAGGAGTAAACCCAGAAATTAAATGGGAGGGAGCATGGTGAGGTGATGGGAGAGAAAACAGCCTCTAGTCCCTCCTGTGTGTGTTATCAGTCATCCAAGCTCAGCCTCTGCCAGAGGGTCCTGGTGCATGGGCAGAACAGGCCTCGAGGTGGGGGGAAGGAAAAGCCCAAGCCATAACCAGCATGGATGAGAGGGCGGGTAAGGAGAATAAGAACCAGGAGGCTAGGCCTGCAAGAATTCACACCCTGTGCCCTCAGCTCCAAACACAGCTTAGTTGCTAACAATATTAAATTCCAAAAAGACTTGTAATGTAGGAAAATAAAATAAACATCCTGCACACTTACCCAATCCTGGTAAACAGCTTCCCATGGGCATGGAGAAAACTGAGGATGAACCTTTTGTTCAGCTGCATGGGAAAAAAAAAAAGGAAAAAAAGAGAGAGAGGAGAAAACAATTAAACTCTCTCCTATTTCCTGTGAATTAAGAATGTCCCCAGTGACAGAAGAACCTGGCCTGGATACTGGGGGTGGCACTGGAGATGGGAACCAAATGGACATGCCCAAACTCTTACAAACATCATGCACAGAGGCAGAGGCAAGTGCCAAACAGCTGGAGCTGGAACCGGGAGAGGCGGTGGAGACACAGCACCCTCTGCCGGGTCCTGTGATCCCGCGCAGGGCTGGTGCACCCCGGGCACCCCAACCACCCCAAATCCGATACCCACACCCCGAGCACTGCACCCCGGGCACCCCAACC